AGGTGAGGCAGTGTAGTTGCGGTGGGGCTGATGTGGTCCCTTGTGGTTTCTGCTGTGTGCTGTGTTCACTGTCCTTCTGTATGGGCGATACCGGTGTGTGTTTGTGTTGTTGTGATTCCACTGGCGTATGCCCGCATCGTAATCTGCAGTGGTTCACTGCATTCTGTTTGTGTTGTTTCTGTAACAATAGTGCTGCACCAATTGACGTCAGACCCCACGGTGTTGTTGTTGCAGTAAACACGCTGCTGATGCTGTGCTCTGCTTTTTGTGTTGCTTTATTGTGTGCGTGTGTTGTGGTGTGTGTTGATCTCTGTGCTGTAGGCCTGCGTTGTGTGAGTGGTTTACTGTGTTCCCTCATTGGATTGTTGTGATGTGTCCTTTCTCTCTCTCTCTCTCTCTCTCTTTCTTTTTGTGGTGCCCCCCGTCTGCCTTGTGTGTTAAATGTGCGTCTCTTCTCTTCCTTTTCCTCTTCTTCCTTGTTACCACAGACCCAAGCAACTCACAGTGACAATCATGACAACGATGTTCGTCCAACTGCGCCGTGTGGTGTACCTATTGGTACTTCTACACTTCGGTACTTGTATGGCCCTTGGAGATGATAAAGTTCCGTCAGTTCCCAATGAAAGTGAGGTTAAAGATGTGGAACAACGGTTAAAGACGTCAGTAGATAAGGTCTATGAATTACTAGTGGAAGGAAATAGTTGTTTGTCCGTGTGGAAGGATGAGGTGGAGTTATGCAACAGAAGTACTGGAGTCGTTAGGACTGCTGCCGAGGAAAGCAAAGATGTTGTTAAGGAAATTGGGAATAGTGGGTCATTATCTGAGAAAGGAGATGAGCCCAGTACGACTGACAAGTTGCTGCAGAACGTTAATGCATCGATACGAGTTGTCGGAGATGCAGTCAAGAATACGCGAGCAAGAATTAAAGATACAATGTGGATTAGTAAGAAGTGTACCAGCACGATTGATAAGTTGAAACAGGTGGCGGAACCACTGCGGCAAGATGCACTGCACTTTCCTAATTTGCTTGATAGTACAACAGAGACGCCGAGAAGGTTAAGACTCGCACGAGAAGGAAGTGGAGCAGACGAGGTGGTGAAACATCTCATTGGAAATCTCACTGCATTGGTTGAACCGAGTCGGAAGACAGTGGAAGATGCCAACCTTTCTTTGATGGAGGCGAAAAACGCGACAAAAGAAGTGATTGATAAGCTAAAAGATAAAACACCAGACGACCGTTTAACAGAGGTAACTGAAGAGGTGCAAAGGATTATGGTTTTGGGAGA